CCCGAGCCAAACGCATGGCGCAACTCGCGTTACAGACCGGCGTCACCGCCGGGAAGACGACGCACTCACCCCCGCTTTGATGAATACAGTCGAGAGCGGAACTACTCACTGCGCCCCGAATGCCCCGGAACGCCGCGAAGAAACGCGATCAACATACCATTATGAGAACCGGAATGCGCCCGGGCCGAGAAATGGAGAAGGGCCGCGTGACTTAGCACCGCCGCGGAATGACAAATGGTGCCGATACTGTAAAAACCGCGGCTACGAGATTGAGGAATGCCGAAAACGGCAATATAACAATAGTCGAATCAACAGGCCGGGAAACGGTCGGGATCTGTCTCGCGGGACGGACGCGGTGCGCGCGGATCCTCCGAGAAACCCGCGTCCGGTAAATACGGTGAATACAGCGATCACGTTGGACACGGTTCACGAAGAAGCGTCCGAATCGCTATCTTGAATCCATCGGAACCATCTCACGTCCCGTCAGTCCTGCTATCCGCTAGCGATTTAGTGGGACCGACCAACTTCATGGTTGACACGGGAGCCGCGCCTAACCTCATCAAGAAACAATCTCTATACCCAGATACCCCCATCGCGAGGGACGATACAATCCACTTTACAGGGATCACGAGTGAGCAAATAGAGACCCTAGGGTCTGTAGAAATTCAGTTCAAAAGGCATAAAATAAATCTACACACCATTCCTGATAACTTCCTCATCGCACAGGAAGGGATCTTAGGATCCGACTTCCTCCGCGATGACGCCACTATCGATTTCGGTCGTGAAACGGTCGAGTGGCGGGAGCGAATTAAACAACCTTTTGCGCATCCAGGGAAGCTTCACATGCCCGCGCGCTCATGGGCCGCCTTTTACGTGAATGTGTCTAATACCGAGACTGAAGTCGGATACCTCCCGCGACTCAGCGTCGGAGAGGGGATCTTCTTGGGGGAAGCGATTGTTATAAACAGAGAAGGAAAAGCGTACGCGCAAATCGTAAACACAACAGAGTCAGACCGCGAAATTGCTGTCCCTACAGTTCAGTTAGAAGAAATCGAATTAATCGCGTCGAAATCCGCGCAGAAGCGCCGCGCCGTCAACTGCGTCACTACGTCTCGATCAGAAGAAGCACCGCGCGAAACCGATAAGGCTGCCTTGGTCTGCGATTTACTTAGATTAGACCACCTCAGTGCCATAGAGGCGGAGCACGTTAACGCTCTCGTGGAAGATAACGCCGACCTTTTTCATCTCCCCGCAGACCCGCTGGGTCACACCAACGCAACTTCTCACACCATCGCAATGACGGACAACTCCCCGGTGAATGTAAAACAATACAGATTTCCGCCGATGCATAGGGAAGAAATTACCAAACAAGTAAATAAACTTTTAGAAGATAATGTTATCAAGCATTCGAATTCGCCGTACAATTCACCCCTGTGGATCGTGCCCAAAAAACCCGACTCTCGGGGAAACCGGCGTTGGCGTATGGTGATAGATTTCCGCGCGCTAAACGAAAAGACAATAGGAGACCCCCTTCCTAATATAGCCGAAATACTTGACCAGCTGGGAAGCGCTAAATACTTTAGTGTCTTCGACCTCGCATCTGGTTTTCAGCAGATACCGATGCATGAGTCGGACGCACCGAAGATGGCTTTTTCCATGCTCTTCGGGCATTATCATTTTAAGCGTATGCCGTTCAGGCTGAAGAATGCCTCGGCGACGTTCCAGTGACTCATGGACCAGGTGCTGACCGGGCTGCAAGGAACGGAAATGTTCGTGTACTTAGACGATATCGTTATATACGCCAGCTCCTTACGAGAACACGAAATCAAATTCAAGCGTTTGGCCGACCAACTGCGAAACGCGAGACTCCGCCTGCAGTCAGACAAATGCGAGTTCCTCCGGAGAGAAGTCACGTACCTGGGCCACGTAATTAGCGAGGACGAGGTAAAATCCGATCCAAAGAAAATACATGCCGTGAAAAACTTCCCGCGTCCGCGTACGGCAAAGAATATTAAACAGTTTTTGGGCCTGGTTACTATCGTAGATTTATTCCAAATTTCTCTGCTAAAAAACTGCTAAGCCTTTAACCGACTTGCTGAAAAAAGAAGTACGTTTTCAATGGGAAGATTCGCAGGAGCGCGCATTCGAAACGCTAAGGGCGGCCTTTTGCTCCGAGCCATTATTGCAATACCCCGATTTTACGAGGCCTTTCGTTGTAACAATGACATAACAAGACGCTTCGAAACACGCCATCGGCGGTATTTTAAATCAGGGACCATTAGGCAAAGATCTTCCTATAGCCTACGCTTCTCGACTGTTGAGCTCACCCGAGCAAAACTACTCAACAATCGAGAAGGATCTCTTAAGCATTGTTTATTGCGTAAACTATTCCGACTATTTTCGACCGTATCTTTACGGTCGTAAATTCCAACTGGTCACCGACCACAAGCCTCTGACGTGGCTACACTCTGTGACGTCAGGAGAGCCAACGGGTAAAATTTTTCCTTTGTGACGTCAGGAGAGCCAACGTA